ACCAAAACCGCACCCAACCCTACCGGGCTAGCGTCTGCTATAACTTGTGTCTTATCCATAACGTCATAATAACCTAGAGTTTTAATTTCTGATAATGCTTTCTTTAACTCTATGAATGCTGTTTCTTGATCTTCCTTCCAATATTCTTTTATACTGGCCTTCTTTCCTAGTTTCTTTCTCAATAGCTCTTTAAGTGGTTCGGTCATAGTTGCCATGTTAGGTATCCATTTGTTTATGTAATTTACTAGTCCGAGAAAACTCTGTAATTCTTCAATCGTATCTGGAACTCTAAACTCTGATATACTCTTTATATATTTGGGTAGTGGCTTTACTCCATCCGGACTTAAAACATGGCCTAAGAAGTGTATTTGCTGTACTGAATATATACATTTAGCTTGATTAAGCAGGACATCGTTATCTTTTAATATTTTCAAGACTTCGGCCAATCGTAAATCATGTTCTTCTTTATCTTTACCCCAGACCAGAATGTCATCAATGAAATTCGTTACTCCTTGGCATTTAATCAATAATTTCTCTAGAATTTTTTGAAAAAGTTCAGGGGCGCAAGTTACCCCAAACATAAGTCTTTTATATCGATAGAGCCCATTAGAAGTAATAAATGTAGTTAAATGCCTGGAATTTGGATGTAATTCTATTTGGTGAAATGCGTCCTTGATATCCAATTTTGAAAAATACTTTGCTTTGCTTATTTTCGGCAATAAATGTTCCATGCACGGTAAAGGATGGTTTTCTCTTAATATAGCTGCATTCGCACGCCGCATGTCAACACAGACGCGCACATCGCCATTATCCTTTAGAATAGGTACAATAGGAGAAACCCAGGGTGACGGTTCGTGTACTTCCTCGATAATGTCTGAATCAAGTAATTCTTTTATTTTCTTATTTATTTTTTCTTCGATAGGTATAGGTATTCTTCGAAATGGTTGCATAACAGGTTTAACTAACGGATCTATAGGAATTTCTATTGAGACATTTTTAAATTTAGGGAATGGTTGAGATTTTACTTGACTACAATTTATTTGGTTCACACTGACCCCTAATTTTAAAACTCCAAGACGTATGGCAGTGTCCTTTCCCAGAAGATTTCTTGATCCATCTCCTATGACATAAATTTTAGCCTGGTCTTCTTTACTGTTAGCTTTTATTATAGCTTCAAACGACCCATTGACCTGTAATGGAGTCTTACTGCCATATGCAAAAAATATTTTATTCGGTTCTCGGACCTGCTTATAACAATGTACCTTGTTTCGTTTCAAGTAATCCCAAGTTTTATCCGATATTAAATTCAATTTGCAACCCGAATCTATTAACATTTCCAAACTTACACCTCCTATTTCACATCTTATTGTTGCATCATCGTTTAAGTTAAATATATACTCTACCTGCTCTTCTTCTAAAGAATTAACCGTTGTATCTTGTTTTTGTCTTTTATGGTTATTTTTATCCGAGTCCTGTTTTTGTTCTGTTTTGCGTTTTAATTGATTAGATTTAGTTCGACAGCAGCGTTGATAGTGGCCTAATTTTCCACAACCATTACACTTCTTCCTCAAAGCTGGACAGACCGATCCATGAGAAGTATGTGCTGCATTGCCACATCTACCGCACTTACTTGATTGTCTGTTTTGAGTCTCCCATCTGGAATTATTCTTGTATGTAGTTTTTATCGCGTTTATCTCATTTGTTTTTATTTTATCTTTTTTTTCATAGCTTTCTAATTGGTGGTTAACTATTTCTAGTGTATTTGCAGCTGATATTACTTTATCTAATGTAATCTCATCCCCCATAGTGAGAATCTTCTTTCTTAATTCTGAAGATAGACAGCATCCAGTTATTTGGTCAATAATCTGATCATCTGGCTTGTCAAACTTACATTTGGCTGCTTGATCTCGAAGTTTAAGCAAAAATTGTTCAAAAGTTTCGCCTTCTACTTGCGTTATTTGTCGAAATAGGTGTCTTTCATAAGTCTTATTTTGTTTGGGAAGAAAGTAATCATCTAGCTTACGAATAGCTACATCAAAAACATTGACTTCATTTTCAGGATTAACATTAGCTCCTGGCAAGTTATAAAATATGTCTTGAAGTGTAGATCCACCTAATACTAATAACGTTGCTCTCTTTTTAACGTCAATACTAATGTCAGATGCTTCAAGGTAAATAAGAAGTGACCTCTTCCATTTCTCCCATTTTAATCCCATAGAAGAACTATCACCTTCAAGGATTAATTTCTCTGGAGGCGGTAGCTGATTCGACATGATGGATCGTTATTTGAGATGACCTGGAAAAACATCAATTGAATGGAAATAACACTTTTTTACAATAATGCAAGTCTTTTGTCTTCTTTAACCTATAAGTTCTTATTTAGAAGAAGTCCATCCAAGTCACAATTCCAATTAAATGGAATCCCGAAGTCCTTATAAAAATATAATTTTCTGATTCCAATTTAATGGAATTCCGCAGGTTTATTCCGATTCCAATTAAATGGAATTCCGATGACTATTGAATTTCAAATTCTTTATTAATTCCAATCGAATGGAATTCCAAAGTTTTAACCTCAATCCCAATTTAATGGAATTCCGAAGCTTTTCATTTCAATTTAATGAAATTTTATCATAGGTACCTAAATAATTTTAGTTTTACTCTGTTATATAGTTAGGCGGGGAAAAATATGGCATATCCTATTGTTAGCGTACCTACCTACCTATGCAAATCGTTGTATGCAGGTAACTTAAACGAATTTTAAAACTAATGAAAAACTTTTATAAGTAATTAGAAACAAACAATAAATAAAAAATATGTAACCTACGTCACCTTTTTAAAATAAACAAATAACTATCTATTATACCTACATTATGAAATATCATTTAAACTACGTACAATCCAAAGACAAAATCTTTGAGTAAACGTTATTTTAAGATTTTTTGTTTGCAATATGTAAAATATTGAAAATAGCACCTATACATATAAGCCGTCTAGATTTGTAATTAATAGTAGAAAACTTTTAATCGCCTGTTTATTTACTTTCATTTACGCGGCAGGCGCCAGGCCGCAGCGCGGGAAAATATGAAATTTTTATATTAATAAATTATCGTCTCCAGCTCGCATGTATAAGTACAAAACAAAACTATTTCTAGTCTCTTATTACCAATTTTGTGACATAATTATTATTGATAAAATACGTTTAATTAATTTTTAATTACCTTTTTCTAGTATAATAGTATGAAATCACAAATCGTTTGGGTTTTTTTTATGTTATTTCGACAAAATAATTAAACAAGCCACCTTTCCCGCCAAAAAAAAAATTTTTTTTTTTTTTTTTTTCTGACCTTTTTTCCTCGTCGCCACTTGTAAGGACCCTTGTCATTACAGTAAAACCGGTAATGCACTGGCTCACCACTACACTTGTATCGCAAGCAGCACTAGTCCAACCTTAACCAGTGTCAGTGACAGACTGCCAGAAGTGACAGATTGACAGCTATACTTCGACTACTAGTGTACATGAGACAATGTTAGTATGACCTTTTTGGAGATACAAACACTACAGTAAGCAATAGGCACCGCCCATGGACCGCCGAAACGAGTGCTTTGCCGGCCTTTTGGGGATAAGGGTTTGAGATTACTTCGTGATATTATGGCTTAGTAAGCTGTTGACTAAGGATATGAAACAATGAATTTATTTTTGCAAGGAGGCCATAAACCGGCACTTTTACACGTCAATTTATATGTGAAAAACTAGATGAAGCGATAATTGGGTTCGTGACAGTTAATTTATAGAAAACATGCCATCAAGTATATTAAACATATAGTTACTTATTACAGTTTCTGGGCGAGGTTGTCATATATACATTGGGATGGATTTAAAGAAATATTTATAATGACGTGTAGAATAACTGATTTATGGTCTAATGTCATAAATTATTAATTGTGCCGTTGTTTCAATGGCCAAAGAACACAACTATAAATCAGAAAAGTTAATGTAGACAGGCACACTACACCCGAAGTTTATTATAGGGGTTAAAAATGCTTGGGGGCTACCTTTTTCTGTACTCTTTATGTAACATGCAATTAAACATCATGTTCCTAATATTTATATAATGAAATTTAAAAATATGTTTTGTAAATGCGAGTGCCCAGTAACAAATATAAATTAAACTAGCAGAATGTATTTGTGTCAGCTTGCCGTTGTAATTGATCGCTCAAGTCTTATTAGTAGTGGCTCGGGCATTGGATCGCTCGATTCCCTACAATATGGTAGAGTTGAGCGGCGTTGTGTATGTGTCTAGTCTGTAAATGGGCGCTGTCAATTGGGACTGGTTAGCTCTAAACTGATTTAATTAATGTTCGTATGGTGATTTTCTTTTCCTGTCTCTATAGAAGAATATTTTAGTGAGCCATTATTATTACGTGATTGAAATTACTTTGTAATTTAACAAAAAATTATATTGTGAAATCGATTGTAAAAAGTAAACATGACATTTCTCGCTCCTTCATGAGAATCTTTGAAACACGTCAACAGCTTCATAATTATAACACTAACCGATAGACTAAGATTTTGATTATATTAATTGACGGTTAAAAGATTTAGTGTGCGACTTTAAGTTTGACTTACATTCCCACTCTTGGGAAGCCATTTTTAATCTTCTCAAACCACGTTATGTGGCGGCTAATGGACAGTTAACCATTTCCTGAAATGTGAATTCATGCACTTACTACAACGCAATCTTTGTACTCAAGCTTTTCATGAGCCTATGCCTATATATAATATGATATACACACTAGCTACTTTCGTGCGGTATTGCCTGCTACTTCGCTCCTATACATACGACATTTTATACCCTAAAGAAAAGAACACAAAATACATCGTTCAATTAGAACCAGTAGTTTTGGGGATTAGCTCGTTGAAACAAACAAACTCTTCAGTTTTTTAATATTAAGTATAGAGACTAAAATATGTAATGACTTAAATTAAATTTTATTTACAGGTAATACGAATGCTTTTCGTCATAATATTGGAGTTCTTCGTTTGCTGGACGCCATTACACGTCATTAATACGGTAAGTAATACATAATATTGAAGAAACATAGAAATGCCATACAAAATAGATTTTGCTTAGTTTAATATTAATTTTAACATTTCAATCGTGGTAATTCGCGAAACAATATAAGAACATTAGGTGTGCGAACGTCTCCGTTCGCTTGGAGTATGATGAATAATTTTGTTTAGTTTAAGACTTTTATCGCCATTTTAAATGCTAAATATTGTTTTCAATTTTTATTAATTAGGCCTGACGACAAGTTTTACTATTTGTTGAGATCATTATTATTATAAAATAATAAAGCTATATATGGCAAGAATAGGTGGGCTCGACCAGCGTGATCAGGATTTTATATGAGGATGACCAATCAATTTTCTTTATCAATTAACTGACGAACAGTAATAAATTTACTTTACATTTTATGCAGAGCCATTTTTGTTTAATTAACCACGGGAATTGGAACCTTATGACCACAATTTTGTAGGACTTAGGTTTCAGAAATTTCCAACAAATATTTTCCCGTGTAACTAAATGAATTAAAATTGGTTTTGTTATTTAAATGTCATAAGACTTTAATATAATCTTTCTAACACGGTGTTCATTCATTGATACCAATTTGACCTAAAAGAAAAAACAGTTCTTTGCTATTGTTTTCGGAACTATATCGTTACTTAAGAAATCAATGAAGTCTCTAAGAATTATCCGATACTTGCCCTTAGTATCTGAAATTGTGATCAATACAAAATCAACTAATCGACTGTTAAATCTTTTGTTCCTTGCTTATAGTATTTACACTCGATTTCATTTAACATTCGGTCCACGCAAGTGGAGTATCTATATCTGCTTTAGTCAGGTAGCCAGATTCCGTTTGTGCAAATTCCAAGCGGTGAACTTACTCAATCTTATATGTAGATCTGAAGTTATGAATAGACACAAAATTCCTATTGACTAGCCATCAATAAGCAAGATGCCCTAATATGTTAAGACAGTCTTTCATTGGTTGACGATTGGGGTTATTCTTAGAACCTTATCTTGGTATTAAAATAGTTTTGGGTAAATAATATTACATTCAGAATTGTGTTCACGATTGAAATACACGTTTTGAGATATGGATCAAATGGCCGATATCTATCAAATATTATTTTGTAACTTGACATAAAACAGTTGGGTTAACTGTACAGACTATTGAGTCTCATTTGGATTGAATTGATTTCGATTTGTGTGAGAGAGCCAAGCTTTGGTGCGAATACGTCGGCTCGACCGGAGTAATATTTCGGCCTTACAGGAAACAGACGTTCTAGAACGCTTGCATTGTGCTTAATTATGAGACCCTATATAGCATTCCCAATCTCTGTACCTCTATTTTACAATTGGCTGTGAGTGATAAGCCCCACCAATTGCTTAATGCACACAATGCTAGAAAAAACTGTTTATTTAGGTGTGTAATATATATTTTATAATAACTATCGTGAGATATACTAAATTAACTAAAAATCGCGGGTTACTCACGTGTAAATATTCAGAAAAGCTCTACTAGTTTCGAACCACAGAGGGGTTCTTCCTCATGAGCAGCGTGCGCGGACGCGGCAACGTCGCGCAGCAACTAGTAGAGCTTTTTCAATATTTACACGTGAGTAACCCGCGATTTTTAGTTAATATAATATATATTTTGTTAAGTAAATAAAAAATTCTCTTCATTATTTACCAAAAAACGTTCCCCAGTAACAATCCACATGTGTAACTTCAAAGAGAATTTAATTAGCTGATGTTTGCAGATGGTCGACACGCTGAAATGTCTCTTTAATGTAGGTCGTAAAAGGAGGGAGTTGATAAACACGTTTACTTGGACTTAACGCAATGTGTAAACAATCAATTTGACCTTGGACACGTCTCTACACACAAAAAGCTAGACTGGACTATTATTTTATAGACGTCTAAGGACTGAACTACGAAAAATAACAGATATCTTATGTAATCTTACGGTTCATAGGCAAAATGTACATAAAAAGGTTAGGTCTGAGGTTCTCAAAATGTAAGTTTTCACCGCCTGTTACGATATTATGTTCATTTTAGTGATTGTAAAGGAATTCATCACCATTCAGCAATAAGACTGAACATTTTCACTAAGAATTATTGTTATTATAATATATACGCTTATCCTAATAAATGTATAAGTAGCTAAACCATATTATATAACTTTTAATTTTAACAACTTTTATTTAGGTGATAGTTTTCTATGACCTTACCTCATATAAGTTGATACCTTACTAGGTACACTGTCAATTATAATTACCAAGTTTCATTATCATTATTAACACTTGCAGTATATTCTATCAAGAACAAGGTTAGAGCATTAATTAACGACGTTTGCTTAAGGCGGATTGGCATTTCCTCACAATGCATATTATCCTTCAACTTAAGTCAATGGTATCGAAATAATCTTAAGTAACATAACTTAAGTGTGTGTTTTAAGTGTGGGAGAGCCAAGCGTCGGCACGAATAGGTCGGCTCGACCGGAGTTATACCACGGCCTCACAAAAAACCGACGTGAAACAACCACAGCGCTGTGTTTCGTTTCGTTTCCAATCAACTTCCTCCCTCGTCCCTTCCCAAGCCTTAAATAACTGAAACCCTTATCCCTAAAAGGCCAGCAATGCATTCGTAACCACTTTGACGTTGCGCTTGCTCGTTTGCCGATCTTTTCCATAAAAAAAAAACTTTGAAAATGTCATGTTGTTTTTTTGAAATCGTAACTATCGTGAAACATACTTACGGTAATGAATATACGACTCACGTGAACCGACTGATACTAATTTCGTTTCGTAGACGTCGCCGCGATTTGCACTCTGCTCAAGAATAGGGGTACTGTTGTGCCTTAAAAGTAATAGAGGTTTTCTCTCAGTAAGTAAGTCATAGTATTCAATAAATCACATTGGTACTTGCCATGTTGCAAACCTTCAATCTCTTACATGAGAAACAGGAAACACCGAGCCACCATGACTTTTTACTTTTTATACTCATTTTATTATTTTGCCCATCCTTCTAAGTTTTGCTATAAAAGATTGGGATCCTCTGAGTTAAGAAAAAAAAAGAAAAATTTTCAGAAGAGTTGATATATGGAATTCTTAGAATTTTCCGTTTCAACGCACGTCTCGTGGTCCAATTCGCTTCTCATTTCGAATAGAAAATAGTCTCACATTTTTTAGGTTACGCAATGTATATTCGGGCCATTTTATTTGTACAAAAACCGATTCTCTTGGATCGCATATCAAGTAGTGGTACAAATAGCGAAGTACCTACGTTAATCTTATAGAAGAATAGGAACATCTGGTATATGTATAAACCCTTTTGACTTGATCATAATGGAGCATAAATGATAAATCAGAAATATGGTTTTCAGACACATTAAAAAATATATAAAATCTATAATAATATTATGCTTAACACTTAGAACGCCGTTTCGGACAATGGTGTACGACGCTAGAGGAAGGTTACCTTTCAACAGTTTTTGTCGACAGTCAAATGCTTAATTTAGTTCAAACAAGCTACAGCTTAAGAACAAAATGTAACCGTTCAGCTTTGGAAATGAAAAGTATCAAGGCGACGCTTTCAATAATGATTTTCCGCCCAAAAAGTTACAAAAATATTCTGGTGTAAATTCATATTTGTATGTACTTCCGAAACTAAGTTAACTTGATTTTGAGAAGTGACAAGAGAAAATAAATGGCAATACGTTTGTAATAGGATTAAAATTCAAAAAGCAAGCCTGTCCAATATCCAACAGCTAAAAGAATACTACGTTCCATAAGCCGACTATATTTACTACAATATAATGTAAAACGTTGGTACTTTTTACTGATATTTTAAAACTGTGACAAATTCGTACTTTGGATTCGCTTTGGTGTGCTTTGACTAAAAATATTTGATATTTGCTTTCAGTCAGTCTATTTCAATGTTCATTTCTATTTGGCATGATTTTTAAATTGCTAGTGCATTTTAAATCTTTATCTTCTTTTTTTTCTATTGGAACGCTATGAGGTTATTTTCTTGTTTTGTAAACTTAGGTACAGTTATTAGTCTTCTGCAAGCTACTTGATAAAGGGTCGCGGGTAAAAGTGCAATTATGTATCAAATAAAGTATATATGTATATGTATATTCTGACCGATTTCAGTTACAGCGACTTTCCTCTACCTATTGAGGGCTTCGCTGATGTGCTTTCAAGTGACTGACATGGATTTTTATAATAACTATCGTGAGACATACTAAATTAACTAAAATTCGCGGGTTACTCACGTGTACATGTTGAGAAAAGCTCTACTAGTTTCGAACCACAGAGGGGTTCTTCCTCATGAGCAGCGTGCGCCGACGCGGCGACGTCGCGCGGCCTACTGTGTATGTGTGTGTCTGTGGTTCGAAACTAGTAGAGCTTTTCTCAAGTACACGTGAGTAACCCGCGAATTTTAGTTAATTGACTGACATGGAATTTTTTTGCAAGTAAAATATTAATAGACCAAAGAATCAAATAAAGTACAGAAACAGGAGCAGGAGACGGAACGGGGTTGTTTTTATTTCAGTACGAGTCTGAAGCTTCATCTCACCCTAATTTGGGTGAGAGAAGTATTTTAATAAATTTCCCCACTCATAAAAAAAAACTCCAACTAACTTAGACCCATGTAAGATCTTCAGCCAAACTTCAATGATTGTTCTAGATTCTACGATTCTATTCATTACCTTAATTCGAACGCCTTGTGCCAACGTCATGCCAACTTGGCTTACGAAGCAGTCAATCAATTAGCCAATGAGGGGGATAGCAAATAAATATTTGATTCTATTTGCTAAAGTAAATCTGTGTGAAAGAAAAGGTAGGTTAATTAGTACAAAGACACGAGTAGTTAGTCTATATTAAAGAAACTGAAAGAAAATGGAGCTTAGGTATAATAGAATAATGAATCTAATTTTTATTAAAATATTAGTATAATATACATATCATCATGCATCACCAGCCTATAAGCCACAT